GAATAACTCCTTCTTAGATGATTGTTTCTGCTTTAGATCCTGAGGGTAAGGATTTCTTAATAACCCCAATACATGAGTTTCTTAAAGAAAAATGGAATCCAGCCTGTGCTTGAAGAAGGCCATGGGGCTCTGTGTGTGGGGGTGGAGGGGAGAGGCGGTGACCAGCAGGAACCTTTGTTGGTGTTCCATCGACACAGAGAAAGCAGCATGGAGCAAGGATCAAGGTGAGGCATTTCATGGCATTTCCAGGAATAGCAAGGAACTGCCTTTGGCTAACGTGTAGGGTTTATAAAATGTTGTTAATCAAGACCCCAACACCATGTGTGCAGAGAAGGCCGTTGGAATCCATGGCTGCCCTCATTCCTAACTTCCAACCTTTGGATCCTCTCTCCTCCCTTCCAGTCAGTGCGGTCTGAAGTACGATGATCGCGGTGAGGAAGTGAGGGGCAGAGAAGAGGGGCCAGGTGTCAGACGTTACAGAAGCAGAGCAGACAGGATAGGACATTACACAGATTGTCTGCCAGGAACTCTCATAGAAACTTGATACCACAGAGGAGTTAGGTCCTGCTCTGGAAGAACTTACAGCCCAAGTAACAGGGGTGAAGGAGGTGGGGGGGGGGGGGGAGGGAAGGGGAATCAGGCATGTCAACAAAGGAGTGGAAACCACGTTATGTACTTCCCCAGGAGTCCATCCAGGGTCCAGAAGTGGTGGCCGTCAAAGTGGCCCTGACATACAGCACCTTCTCTTCCTTCCCCCTTCCCTCCCCCGCCCTGCCCACAAGCCCTGTTGCTATTCCCTCATCTCCTCTCAATTCTGTCTTCTGACACTTGCCTTCACTCACTGCTGATCCTTCCATAGTTTTCACCCCCAGGGCAGTGTTATTTCTAACTCACATTTCAGTATATTGAAAAGTTCCTGAATCACCCAGTGAGGTTGTTGTGTGTCCCCCTAAATCAGTGCTTGCTTTTTGCACTTGGGCCTTGCTTTATGCAGCCTCCATCGCCTTGCTGGCCTCACAGTGCTCTGCGATTGCCTTGGTCCCACCTCGAAGACCCCCCTCTTACTGAACCCCAAGAACATGTCTGGCCAAGGAACATTCTATTTGGGTGTTTTCTTGGTCATTTGTTTGTTCACACATCTGTTTGTTTAGGAGTAGTTTACACATGCTTATATGATATACCCCATCTTCTTCTGGAAATACTTGAGAATGCTTGCATAAATATGATTAGGTCAGAAAAATAAACGAACCAGGTAAAGGTGATGTAGCTCAAAGGCACGGGGTTCTGGTCTGACGTGAGAGGCTGTGTGCTGGTTTTAGCTGCCCAGGGAAGTGGGGTAGAAATAAAGAAATTAAAGCTGCAGCCTGGTGCTGTCCTTGGTCCTGTCACAGCCTTTCTGCATGACTCTGCCTGTGGCCAGGGAGGTCCCTGCTGCCACCTCCATCCTGCCGGAATTTGTTCTGCTTCCTTCCTTGTTGTTGTATGCCATCCATAGCCTTGCTGACTTCTGGCTTCTTGTCACCAGCTCACCAATGACCTGCCCTCACCTGGGTTTCTGAGTTCTCGCATTTCATCACTTGGTCCTGTCCAGACACTTGCTCAGCAGCCTTTGGAAGAGGCTGGAGATCTGGCAAGAGAGCCTTTGTGTGTAAATATTTTCCTTACTTTTTAAAAATTCATTTGCTGAGTGTTGCTCCCCTACGAAGGTTATTTCTGTGAGCCGATCACTACATAAAGCTTATTTTCTTCGATTATTATTTCAGAACTGGCTTTACATTAGCTTCGAGTAGCCCTTTATATGTCTCATAATATGCAGGGTGAGTCTTACCTCCTTCCTGTGATGGTGACATAAATCTTGTCATGTTACATTTCTGCCAGCCCACAGTGATAATTGAACCTGATCTAATGGGTTTAAAGCCTAAGGCTCTTAAAGAGACCTTTAATCCTCTTGTTCATTTAAGATAGATTAATTTTTTTTTTTCTATGTTCCTACGAGAACATGACCCTCTTTTTAATGTGTTCGGCTTCAGTTTTGTAGGTGCAGATATATGAATCTTGCTTTAAGTAGACTTGATACATAAAAGCTTGGATTTGCTTGAGTCATTAAAAACAACTTCTCATCATTAATCCAGAAAGCAGGAAGGAGTTGTATTGACATGAATTATTTTAAAATTATGATCTTTAGGGCCACAATTGTAGAAAACCGGTATTAGTATATTGTAATTGGCATATCTTATTTAGAGATGTTTAGAGCCTTATAATAACAATAATAGTGGTGCATTATGCAGTAACATAATATTTATTTTTTTGGAAATTATATTTGCAAAATAGTAGTAATAGAACATTCTGAAATGCTAGAACTAGAAGAATCACAGGGTCAGAGAAAACCGTGTTCTAATCACAGCCTTTGGCTCTCTGTGCTCCTCGGGCCTCACTACCCCTGGGCTGCGTGAGACAGACCAACTTGTGCAATCTGATGGAAGTGGAGCCTTTTCAGTCACGGACATCAGAAGGGGGTGTGGATGTTGTCATGTATGAATATAATTTTTGATCTCTAGAATGGATTAGCGTTTTGTAAATGAAAATTGGATTTCCAAAGAAAGCATATATTTGCTATGATTTAGTCTAATAATTTGGTTATTTTCCAGTTGCTCATAACTTCTGATGAACAGCTTATCTTAAAAATGTTTGGAAAAAATATGTAAAGTGCATTCCTCTATATTTCATAATTATAGCTTTTAGGCCAATTTTAGGCTGATTAGCTTTACCGAACCCTTTAATACTTTGATTTATTGATCATTCAACACATGCAAACTCAGAGAAAACCATAGTAAAACAATAAATCTATAAGGAACCTAAGAAATTTCTTGACTATGTGAATTGGCATAACAATTGTTGATTTTTGGTTTTGGATATTTTCTGTACCAATTAGAAAGTATTTTGAAGTTTTAATAAAATATCTCCTTTGGCAGGTTAATCACTCTCATTCAGGAATATTCTGCCTAAGACTTCAAAAATTAAACAAAGCCAAGGACGTGCCAAGGCCACAGAGATAGAAAAAAAGGCAAATTACTTCAGTTGCATCCAGTTGACAAGAATTATTTTAGCCTTGTGTATGTTCACATGGAACCTTCTTTGCTTTGTTTCTTTCAGAAAAGAAAGTTATTTTTGTCTGTTTTAAGTTTTCCTCTTTCATTTTGAAACTGTTGAACCAACCAGCTGGTTTATAGATATCTACCCTTTTCTCCGGCCTCTTGGTAATCTTGGGGTTGTGAACATCATCATCCCTTTTTCTCTGAGGGACCAGGAGGTACTATCCAAGGCAAGAGGATGAAAGTGTCTTGCACAGGATCTCAGGATGCTGGGCAAAGACCCTTTTCTTGGAGCAATTATGTCTACATTCTATGCCTCGTCTCCATCCACCTCTGAAATCCCACAAGAAATGCTGCCTCTGCACTGAGAGCCTCATGACTCAGCTGCATCTGGGAAACTTATCAAACAGCCATGTGCTGAGAGAGAGGAGAGGTTGGGGCAGAATTAGTCTTGGTCCTTATCCATCCCTCTACTTCCTTATCTATCCCTCAAATATCCTACTTCCATGGGCTGGATATGGTGGCTTCAGCGGGCACGTCCTGAAGGGCGGCTTAGTGTGGCGCTGCCACTTCCTGGGGAGCTGGCCTTTGCTCTACTGCAGGGTTGCCTCCATCCCCTTCATTCTAGTCTGTGTCTGAATGTCATCCCCTTCCTTGGTGGTCTATCCACTTCCACTTCTCTTTATTCCTTGGCAGTCAGCTTTACCTAATCCCTGTCTGCTGATGGGGCTGCTTTACTGAGATGGTAGATGTAGAAAGCAATTCTTTTGGCTGGAAAGTGCTCTGCCAATGTGAAATAGTGATGTCGGTAACAATACTTCTACGCACAGACCTTCACTCGCTCCCCAGTAGCGCCTTATTTTCCAAACCCAAGCCTTTTAGGGACTCCGAGTTACTATTTTTCCTCTTGTGGTTTATTGGGGGGAGGCGGGAGCGGGTGGGGGTTAGCATTGTGTAGTGGATAAGAACATGGGGCAGATTTGGTTGTCATTTCACCTCTGCCTCTCCAGCTGGGTGGCGGGATGGGCTATGGTGAGTCTGTTTCCTAAACTCTACACAGGGACACTGAGAGAATCTCCCTTTCAGAATGGTTGAGGGTGGTACCTGGATATTGCAAGGTGAAGCACTTAGCATAGTGCCAGGTCCATGTCGGTGCTCAGTGAAGAATTAGCTTTCATTGCTTTCTGTTATTCTAATGGGTTTTGTGCAAAGCCAGCAAAAAGGAGCTGACTCTCATACCTTAATTAATTGTAAAATCTCTATCACCCTACTCTTTTTTCCATATTTATCTCATCCAGAATGTGAATTTGTATTCATTAAATGAACAGAGAATGGTATTTTTACTTAAAAAAAAAAAAAGAATTCTGTGCTGTTATATACTTTTTAAAAGAAATCATGACATAATACTATTTTTTTTTTTACGAGTCCAATATTCCTGAGAATGCTTCCCCTGGCTTCCAGCCCCGGTGAAGTTGGAGTGGGAACGGTTTGTGAGGCGGTCGCTGCAGCCAGCAGTCCTCTGTCAGGCCCTCTGCAGGCCACCGCTCCGTCTGGGCACACTGGGTTCCTCTGCGCAGCACGAGGGTTTCTGGGGAGAGGCTGTGGGCGCAGAGCTTTGTGATACACACAGTCCAGCATGTCCTTCTCGGGCATCCGTTCCAATTGGGCAGAAAGTACGAGGGTCCGTTATGACTTCTGGCTGGCATCCCGTTATTTGTATGGTAATATTTGGTGTGGCGTGAGGTTAGAGATTTATAAGTGACCATCTGAAAAAAGACCATTAAGTCTAAAATTTGAACAAGTCTATTTTCTGGGGAAGTAGTTCAACGGCGATGCTCCTGATGGCACAGTGGCATTTTAAGCCACGCTTATTGAATATGCTGGTCTCTGTTTATCCTTATGTTACAGATTGATGTCCTCAAAGCAGATCTGGAGAGCGCAGAATGGAAAGTTTTGGAGAATCTTATTCTGGAAGATGTCCTCGAACAGATCGGACAGCTCATCTTCGAGATCCATCTCCACTGGCCCGGGTTCGAGGTCAGCGGCAGCGACAGCAATGTGGTGCGGTTCTGGTACAGCCTCCTCAAAGAGTTGGAACTAAATGACTTCAGGCTTTTTCACAGTTACAAGGATTTATCTAAACCTCAGCTCTTCCTGAAGAAAGACATTTTCAATGCAAGTAGCTGTTATACTCTTGGTTGGGTAAATACCAGGTGGAAGTAGGATGCAGGGCCTCATAAAAAACTCAAGGAAGTATTGTACTTGCAGAGTGGAGTATGTCCATGATCCTCATTATCGTTTTGCCTTCTCCCACTCGCCTGCTACCTGCTTGAGGCAGGCGTTGTTATTGCCCTTGTGTGTGTGGGCTGGCGCCTGCCATGAGGTAGGGCACAGTTACCACTTGTTGAGGGGCAGACACGGGAATGCCACAGGAGTCAGCCGTCATCTGCCCAGACCAGGCCCTTTGCCTGTCTGCCTCTGACAGAGTGGGGATGCTTGTCTTCCTTCATTTTTATTTGGAAGATAACCCCCCACTCACCTCAGTTTTCTCTCAAGTTCGTTATGTTTCTATAGGGTGCTCAAAAAAATGTATTCACACTTCAACAGCTTTTGAAAATGAAATGTATTTTAATGCACATTGCCTTAATAATTATTCGAAGGTGAGCATACATTTTGGGGGACACCCTGTATAATTCGTGAATTCACCAACATGAAAAAGAAATTACATACATTTTCCATTCTCACGGGGTTGATGAAACTCTTGGGTGTGTAGCCTGCTGTTTACCACAGGACCTTGCCTTTGGCTGGAACCCACCTCTTCCCTGTTCTCCTTAAGTGTCCAGGTGCAAACACAATCATATCAAGATTTTTAATTTATAGTCTGAAGACTTGGGCATTACTGAAAGCCCCCTTTTATACAAGGCAAGTTACCATTTATTCCAGATTGGTGCTACAGAACACTGACTTCATCACACTCCATATATATATATCTGAAGCAAGAATGGGTGTACTGTTTTTTTTTTAAAGAAGAGATTAACTCAAATCACAAACACACCCGCCCACACCCACCTACAAGGCAGCCTGTTCAGTAGTTATTCATACTTATTTTATGCTTATTTCTAAGACTGTCCTTCATCCCCTTTATGGAGAGCTTGGAATTTCTGATGAATTTCTCACTGTTGCTATGGTTTCCCTGCCTGCAGAATTTATTGTGATTATTATGTTGGCCAGGGTTTCTTAACCTCAGCACTACTGCCGTTTTGGGCTAGATCCTTCTTTGTTGGGGGAGGAAGTGCATTGTTGGATGCTTAGCAGCATCTCCCCTGGTCCCACTAGACACCAGAGCACCTTTCCCCTCCCCTGTCAGTTGTGACAACCAGTCTTGTCTCCAGAGGGTGCCACATGTCCCCTAGGGGGCAGAATCCCCACTATGGAGAGCTGGGGTCGACCATGAGAAATGGTCTAGGTTACCACAGCACTAGCGTTTGGGAAGATGCTGTGGTGAAGAGCAGGCAAAACCATCACAGAAGAATACAAACAAAGTACAAACAAACAAAATCAAGAGCCATTATTTATTGAGCACTTCCTGTGTGCTCAGCACTGTCATGGATTATTCCTAATTCTCCCAACAACCCTCCAAAGAAGTGTAATTTTCCCAAATGACATATACAGGCTATAATAGAAAACACTGAGCAGTTAGATAGTTTATTCAGATCATTCAACTAACACTAGTAGATGGTGGAGCAGGAATCCACTTCTTGGCCTGTCAGATCCCGAAGCCCATGCTGGTCCCTCCACAATGCTGCCTCCATAGCCTCTAACAAATGTAAGATGCTTCTTTTAAAGTACATATTTTTGCCTTTCTATTAGTAAATGGGAGTGGTGGTGGTGGGGGGACGGCTACAAATATACTAAGACCAGACCTGCAAATCTATTAGAGTTGGGGTTATTTTTGTAGCAATAAGGTTAAATTTTAAAAGCCTTCATTAAAGTATGCTTGCCAAATGGAGACTTACTGACAAAACCTGGGGACCCAACGAATTCTCTGTCAATATGTTCAGGTTGCCAGGAAAGCTCTTGCAAGGGCCTGGAAGTGACTCTTGGCCCTGGCTCATCCCAATACTTGGCACTCTCCCTCCTGGGTTTTAGAAAGGGCACAGTTGCCTGGAAGTGTGGTGTGAGTTCCCTTTGTTTCAAACTAGGTTTTGATCCTAGATAAATGAGCTCTGATGTGAATACCTGCAACATAATTAACTCTTACCAGAGCGGTGCTCATAAGTGAATCTGAAAATACAAATTTAATAATAATGCTCTTATCCAGTGATAGGAAAAAAACTGTTCTTTCTCAGGTGAAAAAACACGTGAGGATGTAAGAGATTCAAAGGTCACCTTTTAGCCTAAACTCTGTTACAACTTGAGATTAAAGTAAAACAATTTTTCCTTTCCCCTTTTCTTAGAGAGATTGTATTTTATGCAGTTATACTAGGTTATTATATAAATATTTGCAGCTATTTGACATGTGCAAATGGAGAGAGCCAGGGAGAAGTAAACTTCCGTCAGAATTGACTGACCAGCATGGATGTTTACATCAGGGTAGAGCAAAAGTAAATTCAGGAATGTACAGTGTTTACTTTGACTTGGCTATTCATGTAAGCATCTCTGCCTTGGCTGTAAGAGGTTAGTATATAATAAATACAGCAGAAGACTCGCATTTCCTAAGTATTTTATGTTGGGATTTTGCAAAACTTGGATTTATACCAGAAAACTAGCTTCATTGTGTTTTGCCAGATTAAAAATGAAGGCCTTATTTAAACAGATTATTATACTTAACAATGCAATAGTAGCTCCAAGCTCAATTAATGTAATCTGTTCTACTAAAGATAAATTTTGTTTTCCTTTTAAGCAGTAACATAATTTTTTTTTTTTTTTTGTATTAGCCAATTGCTGGCTCTGTGGATTCAATAAAACACTTAAACTTGGGTTAAAATGTCTTCCTTTTTCTTTTTTTTACATTGAAAGAGGTATCTGACCTTTACTTATCACATGAAATCATACCCCTAAATGTAGTATATTTTTAAACTGCCTAAATTTAGAAATTATTGACATTCTTTAAATAATGTTATTGTATTTCTGTCCTTAAAAAAAATAAAGTAAGCAAACTTAATGTCATGCTTTAAGTTTAGCAGTATATGGGAAAAAATGCTAGTTCCCAACACATTAAAGCCAATGCTTTGTAAAACCAGCAACTTTTATATGATTGTATAAAATACTGCAAGGTTTTTTTTAGACGTTGGTTTGGTGCAATAAGATGAGTTGAAACAATAAGAGATTTATTTTCCTGTCAATTTTGAATTCTAATCTAGACTATTCCAACAGAGGAGCCCAGTATACCCAGGGCAGATATGCAATCGATATGTACCAGGAAGCCATAGTGGTTGGTAAGTAGCTGTGGTCCTGACTCATTCTCCTCCACGGCAGTTCCTCCCACAGGACTCCCAGACCTCTCCAAGATGGAGCAGTTAATGCACAGAGGCAGCTTGTGGGACCTGCCCTAGCACAATGGTTAGCTTCTCTTCTAACTGCTCTATGTCCTATGTGACTGGCCATTGGACAGTTTGATGTCACAACTGGCTGGGTAAAGATGATGGGCACAGGTCCAAGTGTGTGCTATAACACGAATGAAACCACAATCAGGTCAAAAATAAGCTATTATCTGTACAACACAGTGTTATTTCTCAAGGATTGATACCAGCTCAAACATGGCTTCCCCAGGGACTCCCCCTTTCTCTCTCCGCCCCCCCCCCCTCCATTTAAAGCCCACAGCTAGGATCTAGGTGGCCCTGTGATGCCCTCCTGTCTGTTTCCACACGCCTGTACTTTAATGTCTCTGCCTATTTAATGGCTGTCTTTCCCAGCAGACTGTACGCTCCATGAGGGAAAGGGCCAAGACTGAAGCCTCAGTGCCTGCCAGGTAAAAGGTGCTCAGTAAATATTTGTTGGCTATGAGTAAAGAAAGCTATTTCTCATAGGATTTTTTCAGTGAATCTATTTCATCAGCATTTGTTACTGAAAATTTTTTTTTTCTGACATGAGAAATACCTTTGCCATTTAGATGTACCACTATCTCTCCTGTTGGTTAATTTAAATTGAGACACACTTCATCCTGTTCTTGACATGGTTGTTTATTGCTTTGCTTCTGGTAGTCCTCATTCCCGGTTAATGCTAACCTGGAGATCTTTCTTAGGAACTTGAGAGCTACATAATAATTGAAGGCTCAATTATGACTACAAGATATTCTAAGATATTAAACCTCAATCTTTGATTCTCATTCCTCATAGTCCTTCCTTTGTACCAATTCCCAGAAAACAAACTTTTTGGAGTCAGTGTATAAAACCACAATTCCTATAGCACAGATACTACTTTTCAGTTTATGAGAGAAGGAAGGTATGATGATGCGAAACTACTTAGGACAAGGATAGAGACTGGTGTTTCTAAAAATAAAAAAAAAAATAAAAAAAAGATTAAAACAGATGTTCAAAGAATAAAAACAAGATGAGAAAAGGTATTGTGTTCTAAAAACTATCTGAAATATACAATACAAAGGACCTTCCCTGTGAGCAGTCATGAGAGGGTGATGGGGGCCCAGCTCTAATGGAAGAGGCCAAGAGCATGTCTGTAGCTCCAAGTTGTTTTCCTAAAGGATGAAATAAACATGATTTAAATAGCTGAGTGCTTCTTTAAACCACCTAAGTCAGAGAGAGCAAGCTGGAAGCCGAAAAGATTAGGACACCAACCTGACCGTTTAAAAAACAACGCTCAGTTAAGTGGCATTATGCGGAGGCAGGATAGTATCGATAGGATGAGAGGAGGGTTTCAGCACTGCTGCTAACCAGCTACATACCCAGCAGCATCTTTCTTGACCTATTTCCTTACTTAGATTAGGATATTTAATTTCTAAGGTGTCTTCTGGCTTGGAAAACCTCATTATTCTAAGACGTTCATGATTAGAGGTTTTGATAGTGGTAGGATAGTTTCTTGATTAGTGTGCTATAAAAGGGAACTCTTAGGATAAATTCACAAGAATCCAAATGATGTGATTATTCAAAAAAAAAAAAAAAAAGCTCAGATAAAAGATGAATCCATTATGATGGCTCTCCAGTCATCAAGTGAAGTGCCCTCAGGAAAAGCACCTTTTTGGATAACACACTTCAGCCTCCACAGTTCGAAAAACCAGAATGTTTCAGACCGCAATAGTTTATACGTCTGCCCTAACAAAGTGGCAATCTCTGAAGATACTAGATCAAGTACATGTATCTATGGTAATATAATACTTCTATATGTATGTGTATGCACATATGTGTATGTATGTAGGATATGTGTGTGTGTGTAACATGAAATTTGAGGCAAGTGCTGATAGAAACTTCTGATTGGATCTTCTTTTTGCCTCAGTTACTAGTCCTTGCCTTAATACTGTATTTAATCAATTATTTTATGATCTACAAAGAATGCTGCAATTAAACTATGATGCAGCATTAAGATGTAGCTCTAAAAAAAAAGATGTAGCTCTATTTGAGATGTCAAAATGTGAAAAGTGAGCATCTTTGATGAAATAATACCATCAGTTTTCTATAGGTCTTACTTTTGACCCAAATTTTATACCACCAATGAATATCTTGTCCTGGATGGCCCTCCACACTTCCCTTCCCCACATTGGAATCCATATGGCTCCCTCAGCTAACCTTGACTTTCTTCTGAATTCTCTCAGTAAGATGCAGCTGGTCTGTCCACTCTCTGAGAAAACAGTTCTCCAGGAAGAGCCTCTGTAGTTAGCGCTTCTGGCTGCCAGCCAAGGGTTTGCTGTTTCACTGTCAATGTTTTCTTTCAGGTAATTTATAGACATGCTGGGCACATCAACCAGCCTCCCAATGCATCCTTAAGAATCACTTTACACTTTTCTATTTAGAGGTGCCTGACTGATGCTACTCCCTGTTCCTTATCTTAAAACTGTCTCCTTATTCAAGACAAAATATTCCCAGCTTGTGCTTTAATATTTAAATCTTCATCCCATTAAACTTTTCACTAAAACATTACTTTTACTCTTAACGTGTAGTAAGGCATTATGTTCTGAGTGTGACAAAAAGCATACACAGCGAAGAAAAGGAGTAAGCACTTAATTCCAGTAACAACATGACCTTGAGACGTTTTTATGCTGGAAGGAACCCCACTGATTTGTGTACTCTGAGTGCAACTGTGACTCAGCGTCACCACTAAGTGAATAAATGTGGGATGTTAAACTTATCTGTATACTCTAAGGGCAGGCACAGCCCCGTGTTATTATTTAATCAGAATAAACTCATTAATATACTGCACCTACCTCTAGTCTAAAGCATCCATAAAATCAAAATGACCCATTTAATATCTATAAATAGTTTAACTTGGTTAAGACAAAAGGAAACCAAGAATAAAAATTTTGATAACACATTTTATAAAAAATGCTTTATTTAAAAATAGGATTTCTTTTTTTAAAAAAGAGACAACTTTTATACACAGTTGCTTAGTTTAGAAACAGTCAAAAACACAATAAAATAAACCCAGATTTAGAAATGATTTGTAACATACACAATACTGGTGCTGAACAAGATAGTTTAAATATACGGTTCTTTTATTATTAATCAAATGTGATTAACTCACATTTATGAAACCAGTGGTCGGGACTAAAGTAAAGGTCTTGTCTGAATTCCCTCCTCTTCAGGAAGCGGCGGCCACCCTTCCTGGCAGGTACGGAAAGGGAGCAGCGAGGCAGCGTATTCTTGTCTCCCAGTGCTTCCGTGTCCAAAACTGCAGCCTACCACTTGTATCATTTTTCTATTTTCGTCTTTGACATTTACTTTTATGTGGCTATAGCACCTGGTCATCTACACCAGTTTTCTTTTTTGATATTAATTTTTAAAAATGGATGTTTTTAAGGACAAGAAGTATGAACTGCTTTGATAGCAGACGACTCCAAGCTAATGCCTTAGGATATCATCAGTCAATACGATGTTGGTCTCCCAGTCAGCACTCTGAGCAGCTATGAACCAATCTTCCCTAGCATGGTAATGAAACATTTCAAACTACCTTCAAACATCTGATACAGATTTGTAATAAAGCTGGAGAAATGGTTGTCAACTAAAGTGCTGTTAGCTACTATATTCAAGAAGCTATCTTCATTTCACAATCTCAAATTTTTAAACCCAATCACAGCCACTGCTTCTCAAACTGGGGAACCCTAGCCATTTTCCTGTTGCCAATTTTACTCAAAGATTTAGAAAGACGTTTAAAACTTTATTGATTTTAAAAAGTTCTGTTGGCTATATTCCCAAACCAACTCAGAATAATTTTAAAGATAAGACATACAACTCATCAAAGAAATTACAAGTTAGTATTTTGATCTTTGCCCTATTTCCAATGAGGAATATTTCAGTAGTAACATCTGTGAAACAATGGCCTATGAGACCCTGGCTTATGAAAGAATAGCCAGGTTCTTACTGACAGTCAATACAAATAAAGTCCAAAGTTTTGACTCATTCTCTTGAGTTTCATCTTCAAAAATCACATAATTCTCTTATATACTGGTCAGGAAGAAAGTCAAGGAAGGTACTCTGGGCTGATTTGTATTTTACAGTTTAATAATTAGAGGAATGCTGCAATTAGAGAAGATTGCTGGTTTACAACTAAAAATACACAACATGTGTCATAAAAAATAGTGGAACAACTCAATCCAAAAGATTAGAACCTGACCCACTGGCAAGAATAAAACAGTAATTGTGGGTGGTTTTATCCTTCTCTCGGTCACATTAAATTATATCATCTCTGTTCCTTACTTTCTTTTTGTTTAAGAGATAAGTACATGGTACCTTTCTGAATTGTCACTAACTATGTTACCACCTTTAGAATCCCCAAATCCATGAGGGATTCTTACCCGACTCCAAAGGGATCTTTTCTGTA